TTTTAAGTTTCGTTTCTGTGAGAGTTGCGCAAAACTGAATTAAACACATTATAATGTCAAACGGATTGATGTGGCTCTAGAGTCGTTACGTTACGGTTTATATGTCGTAAAGTTTAATTCATTTATGCAGATTAGTAGTGCAGACAGTAATAAATAATGATGATCATTTTAATATAAAAACATTAATGATTAATCGATAATCGATCGTTAATTGTTCCGACAATTGATTAAGAAAATTTAATCGAATGCCCATCCCTAGTTGTTACCGTTGCTATAGGGGTCACGTGATGGTGCAAAGCCTCTATAGAGAGAATGAAATAAACAAACTCATAAAAGTAAATAAGTCTGTTCTTTCTGGTCAGATTAAAGTGTAACAAGCTTCAGACAGAGCAGTGCCTACAGTTTGCGTCCCCCCCACAGAGAGAGTTGATGATATCAGCTGCAGAGAATGTGCCGCCTGCTCCGACCAGTCTGTTCCCGCAGGGCGGGGCAGGCTCGGATAATCCCGCTCAGGATAATCCCGCTCAGGTGATCTCACTCACGTGACCCGCGGCGCAGACACAGCGGGAGGTCACTGAAACTCCGCTCCACAAACCTCAACTCCATAACGAGTCATGAGAACGAACGAGAGCCTGCCCCAAAAACACACTCCAAAAACACCAAACCTTTTGTTTAACGGCGAGGAGAGAGGGAGGAGAAGGGAGGCAGGGGAAGAGAAATAAAAGAGGGAGGGAGAGGGAGAAAGGAGGGAGAGGGGGAAGGAGGCAGGGGCAGAGAGGAAGAGAAAGTGAGGAGGGGGAGCGATGGACAAGAGAGAGAGGGGGAGAGAGGCAGGGGAGAGAAAGGGAGAGAAAGGGAAGAGGGAGAGAGAGGGTGAGAGAGGGAGGAGGAGACAGGGAAAGGAGAGAGAGGGGGAGAGAAAGAGGCGAGAGAGAGAAACGTAGGTGGGAGAGAGAGAGAGAAAGACACAGACAGACATAGAGAGAAACAGACGGGGGAGGAGAGGGAGGCAGGGGTGGAAAGGAAGAGAGAGTGAGGAGGGGGAGAGAGGGAAAGGAGAGAGAGGAGGAGGGAGCCAGAGGAGAGAAAGGGAGAAGGGAGAGAGAGAGGGAGGGAGGAGAAGGAGACAGGGAAAGGAGAGAGAGGGAGAGAGAAAGAGGAGGGAGAGAGAAAGGTAGGTGGGAGAGAGAGAGAAAGACAGAGACAGACAGAGAGAGAAACAGACAGGGAGAGAGAGAGAGAGAGCAAGAGAGAGAGAAAGAGACAGAGAGAGACAGAAAGAGAGGGGGGATTAGGGAGAGAGGGGGCCAGGGGCAGAGAGGAAGAGAGAGTGAGGAGGGGGAGAGAGGGAAAGGAGAGAGATGGGGAGAGAATGGTAGGTGGGAGAGAGAGAGAAAGGCAGAGACAGAGAATAACAGAGAGAGAGAGGGGGGGGAGAGACAAAAAGAGAGGGGGGGGGAGGAGAGAGAGAGAGAGAGAGAGAGAGAGAGAGAGAGAGAGAGAGGGAGGCAGGGGCAGTGAGGATAAAAAGAGTGAGCGGGGGAGAGAGGGAAAGGACAGAGAGGGGGAGGGTGGCAGGGAAGAGAAAGGGAAGAGGGAGAGAGGGGAAGGAGAGAGAGGGGGAGAGAAAGAGAGGAGGGAGAGAGAGGGAGGGGGGGAGACACTGAGTTCATGTGATCTCAGAATCTCAGGAAACCCAACCTCTGACCTCTGACCTGTCTGCAGAGAAATACTATGATACTCAAAGTAGTTTATGCCTCTGACACAACGCAGCAGGAGAATCCCAGTGAATGCTGCATGAAGGGTCAGGCTGTTAGCTGGTTACTGTGTGGGTTGTGTGTGTTTGTGTGTGTAACCTGGTTACCATAGTTTTCTCTGACCCCGACCCCTGTTCACCTGGATTTTTAATATTATTCACTTTTTATGTAACTGACTTTAAATAGTACTGCAGATCATAAGTGAACTCTTTTAAAGTATTGTTTCTATGGAAAAAAAAAAATCATGCTAAATCCCATAAGTAATGGTAATGCCTGAAAGTTCTGCTTTCTGCTGATTTGAGGTACAGTGAAGATCTTTGGTCATAGCAGCTGTTTCCCTCTAGATACAAAGGTCATCTTGGGCTTAAATTGAAGTTTATAAACTTGGGAAGTTTTTCATGTACATTTAAGGCAGTGATATATGCAATAAAATGTTTGAAAATGATCACTTTTGCTGACAATTTGTCAGGCGGACAGACAATTTTTTGTCTTTTGGTGGATGTTGAGGGTGATATTCGACAGTAGAAAGGCAGCAAGCCCCAAATTATTTTTCTGCTGGTTTCCCCCATGTGTCAGGATACACCATGCAAAATTTTAAGGTTATTTGACCATGTATGCAGTTACAGTACCTTAATATTTACAGTTACTTAAATTCGCAAATAGCTTTTCTTAAAAAATTTGTTTTTTGGGCCCTGAGACCAAACGGGGCGAAGTTGAGGTTGGTCCCTATCAACTCGTGATGGCCCAAGATATAATATAACAGGAAATAATAGTGAAAAAAGGTAGCAAAAAACATCCTGAGGGGTGAACCTGGCTCCCGGCCTAAAACAGTATCAGTAAAAAACCTGAGCTGCAACCAATAAATAACAAAACATACCAATAATTAGCCAGAGGAGTTATTTATCCAACTCTCTCCAACTCAAATCTGACTTTATTACATGAAAACGGCTCAAATCTCGTCACTATTGCAAAGAAAATGTACCCACGATAAATACTGAGCCCCAAAATATTTATATCCAGATTTCATATATTGACCCATCAGTCTGTAGAGTTTTTATTGTGACACGAACAATTACGATTTTGCGAAAACTTCCAAAATAATCTGTTTATCCGCAATTTGGCAACGAGAAACAGCTGATCCCGTCACACATGTCTTGCTTACAACAAGTGTGTTTTTTTTTTTTGCAGTGACTTAGCAGAGAGAACAAGAGAGAACAAGGACGTGCACATGTTTGGGTTTGTGGCTGGTGCACGTGCGCATCCTGTCACCGCTGAGCTCGTGCACACGCTCATGCACGTGCTCGGGCTGGAAAGTCAGAGGAGTGCACAGAGACGGGTTTACAAGAGCATACATGAGCGAGAGGGATGGGGGGGAGAGAAAGGTAGGTGGGAGAGAGAGATAGAGAGAGAGAAAGACAGAGAGAGGGAGGGAGAGAGAGAGAAAGACAGAGAGAGAGAGAGACAGACAGAGAGAGAGAGACAGAGAGAGAGAGAAGAGAGACATAGAGAGAGAGAGAGAGACAGAGAGAAAGAGAAAAACAGACAGGGAGAGAGAGACAAGACGAGAGAGAAAGACAGCGAGAGAGAGACAGAGAGACAGAGACAGACAAAGAGAAAAACAGACAGGGAGAGACAGAGAGAGAGAAACAGAAAGAAAGACAGACAGAGAGAGACATACAGAGAGAGCGAGAGACAGACAAAGAGAGACAGACAGAGAAAAACAGACAGAGAGAGGGAGGGAGAGAGAGAGAAAGACAGAGAGAGAGAGACAGACAGACAGACAGAGAAAGACAGAGTGGGACGGAGAGCAAGACAGAGAGAGAGAGAGAGAGAGAGAGAGACAGAGAGACACAGACAGAAAGTCAAAGAGAGAGAGAACGAGTGGGAGGGAGAGAGAAAGAGAAAGACAGAGAGAGAGATACAGAGACAGACAGAGCGGGGGAGACAGAGAGAGAGAGAGAGAGAGAGAGAGAGAGAGCAATAGCAGCCCAATTTCCCCAAAACATAATGATCTGCTGTAGATGAACACACATGAAGTTTAGCAAACTTACATGTTAAAAGTCTATTATTTTTGTTTTATATGTAAAAAAAAGTATATTCAAAGCACGTTCAAGTTTATTCTGTCTTTATAAATACATTGTTTCCTACAACTTTTTCTGTAAAAATATATATGTTTTTTACCAAAAATTTCTTAAGTTGATGCTACAGCAAGCTACAGTACATGAGCGGTACATGTGCATGAATCAGTCTTAAAGGTTCACTGTGGAACCTTACTGCAGTGCCTTTATTTGATTACAGCTGAATAAATACCTTGAAACATATACAAACTTACAAACTGTGAGTGGGTTTGCCTCTCCACAGATGTGGCTTGCAACATTTCCTGCTGGACCCACCTGCTTATCAGCATGATTGGACGACTGCAAACCCTACCCCAGAAAAGTTACACCATGAACCTTTAGTATACCTGTTTACTACGGGTGAAGTCACTCTTTGTTTTGCACATAGATATCTCTGATATATATTATATAATGAAGAGTAAAACAGGCCACAACCAAAGCATTTCCTGTTTTCATCAATACGACCGCGACCTTTGATTGAACCTGGCTCCCACAACCTGCCTCACAGTAGTAGCTCTGATATTTGAGATACACAGGATACACTGCGGCGTACTGTCACAGATATGACGCTCAATCAATAGGACAGAGACAGAGGACAAAGCGGAAGGAACTATTCTACAAATCTCAACAGATCAGCTTCAGTTACATTACACACACGAGCTTTAAGACACGTTAGAATGTTGTGTTTTGTTTCATTCACATGTTTGAGTAACTCTGCATTATGAGTCTGTCTACATCTCCAAAGCTCAAAATTCTCTGTTCCACCTTCTGATGTCATGAAGCAGTAGTTTTCAAGTTAACAGCTACATTTTATCTTTATTTCAGCAAAGAGAAGCAATTCCAGGGCTGAAATGATCCAAATGATTCTAGTGAAGGTGTATGAAGTTTAAAAACACAGTGAAGCACTTCCTGTATTACCAAATGACATCGCAAGTTGGTGTCTTCAGTTTGTTTTTTCAGTTTGAGAGAAGAACTCAGCCTAAATAAGTGTGAGTGTTAAATGTGTGAATGAAACAAAACACAACTCCAGTTTTTATGTTTGTGATGAGGAAACTACAGCACATTAGAACATTGCTCAGAATAATACTCGTAGTATAGTTATAGTATAGAGTAAGTGTGATGGTACCTCCGTGTACGTTCTCCAGGGGGTAGAAGAGGCAGACGAGCAGGTTCATGAGCACGGCCAGGTTAAAGGACACTGTGCTCCACACCGAGATGTTCCTGGAGCACCAGTACAGCACCTGCTGAGCTGAGAGAGACAACAGATATTCACGTACAAATATATGTGGAATCATCACACATGCTACAATACAGATATGTGAGTCCTGATATCCAAACTAGAGCCCGACAGATATATCGGTTGGCCAGTATTGTTGGCCGATATGGGCACTTGGAGACATATCGGCTGATAGTCCACATGGACATGTTATACCTCATTATAAAGTGTAGACTCTCAAAATTATGTTCATTTAATCAAATTTACAGACAGATAAATGTCCTAATATGTGGCACCATGTCAGTATTTATCTGCAAAGTCATTTGTCTGTGTCTTTGATGCCGTACTGACCCTGAACGCTCCCCCAGTGTCACATCACTCACATGTTCTTGTTTACACCAGTGCGAAGCCATAGATTCACATGCACAACACTGAGGCGCTGCTTTAAAAGCTCTTTTGTCTGATCCACAATACTGAGGATAAATAAAGGCCTTACTCGCAGAACACACTCGCAGCTACTGTCAATGTGCTGGATTATATCGTTTTTACGGATGATCATTTTGAGTCAGGATTAAAAGGACATTTATTTGTGAAGACTTGTGATCTGAGAGGAGCCTGTGTGAGCCGTGAGTGTTGTAAACGTGTTGGTTTTGAAACTACTTTTGGTTCATTGGTTAACTGCTGTAGCTCCCACACATAAACAGCCTGTTTTCTCTGACGTTGGCCTAGTGTAAAGTGACTATAATGTTTATACATGTTACGGGACCTGCATTGTTATGTAAAAAAGCTGTGAACAGAGGTGTGAATGATCTGCATTTAAGCATACACCTTTAACGCTTCAGGCTGATAGCGGTACTTTACTTAGTTTGTTTACTGGTTACAATGTGATGCAAAAATGCCATCAAGTCGACCTTTAAATATGACTGTAAAAAGGCAGAGTAACAGTAAATGTCGCCTAAACAAACCCAATTTAAAATCCAGTAGAGCCAGTTTTATAATCAATTGAAGATTTACAGTGAATTTTTACATCACGAAATATATCGGCTTTTATATCGGTTATCGGCACCTTCAACTCCCATTTTATCGGTATAATATCAGCAGTGTTGGGGAGTAACAGATTACATGTACTGGAGTTACGTAATCAGAGTACAAATTATGAGTAACTGTATTCAGTTACAGTTACTGTTTCAATGAGTGGTAATTGGATTACAGTTACTTTGTTGAAATAAATGGATTACACGGTGGTATTTTCCTGTTTTTACATTTTGGGCTACTTTTTTTTTTTTCTTCTCGGTAATTCCACTCATTGCTGGACACTAAACCCAGGTCTAAAACCAGGTCTAAATTAGGTCTAAAACCAGGACTAAAACAGGACTAAAACAGGACTAAACCACCTCTAAAACAGGATTTAACAGGAATAAATCATGCTGCGTGGACCGTGTCTCCTCCTCTTTTATCAATAATATTTTTAAAGACTCGGCCTTTTCATTTTCTTATAGCAAACAAAACATCTTAAATTACGAAATCCTCGTCTTTGCTTCTCTACAGCAAATCAAGTAAAAAGTATTCAGATTACGTTACTCACTTTAAGTAATTTAATGGATTATGTTACAAACTACATTTTGAGGTATGTAATCTGTAATCTGTAGGGGAATACATTTTAAAAGTAACCTTCCCAACACTGCGTATCAGCCACAAAAAAAAGGGTTACACTTTGAGAGTGTAATCCAGCTCATTTTACTCCTCATGAGGAGTTTGTTTGGTTCTGTTTTAGTGAGTGGTTTAGTTTTGGTTTAGTCCTGGTCACTACTAGCCAAATTACAGGTCAGATCTGTGGAGAGGCGACCCCACTCACAGTGAGAATCCTATTAATGTTGTTATATTGATACTTTAAATGAGTATCTAGTTTTCATACTACTTTACAGTATTATTTTAGATGTATTTTAGATTAGATCTGATTTTTTAATACTTTTGACAACCATAATGTATAGGGCCATATCAGTAAAAACAATAACATCTCCAGGGAGACAGACACAGGAAGGGCCCTCTACTAGAAAATTTCCACAGTGCATCTTTAACCTGATGTGTCTGGGCATGTGCAGCTGTAGGGACTTTACATGTGAGTGATGGTGAGTGGGTGAACCAGGCGTGGGATTCTTAAAGTCACTGTAGAAGTGTGTCAGGGCAGGAGGTGTGGAAAGCCCCAGTCTGAAATAATACTGAGGAAATGTGAACACGATCACAGACAGACGGGCTTTGTTTGGCTCTTTCATGGACAGAGGATTCATTCCAAAACACTAATGTTCAATGGAAGCAGGGAAAGATCCGGAAAATTCTGTCTGATTGCCTAACTTCTGGTATTTCCGATGCAGTTCAGAGGAAAACCAGACAAAACCAGATTTTTGGAACTAGATGTTGAGCAAATGTTTCAACTGAAAACAGATAGTGCTGTTGGTAAATATTTGTGTTGTGACGATACTAAAATCTACGACGTAATTTAAGGAATAGACTCGATACTGTTTCAAATATCACAATAATAATAAAAAATGATCATAAAAATGTAGACAATAGAATGTGATTTTCAACATTAAAGGGACAGTTTGAAATTTTGGACATAGGACCTCATTTCCTAGTGAGCCAGAGTGGTGGAGACCTGTGGAGACACTTTTGTCAATGGTCATAGTTATCCTGCCACTAAAAACCTTACCCACTCCACAAAATGCCCGAAACAAATCTATTATTACACCAGACTGTCCATGTGAATGTCTGTGTTGATAGAATAATGTTTGAAATAAAACTAAACTTGCATTTGAAGGATTTCTTTCTGAGCAGCAGTGAGTTGTACTTCCTGATAGAAAGCTCGGCAGCGGCGGACTGATATATGAGAAAATAGTCCCTCAACATGCGACGATTCATGTGATGCAAGGTTAGTTTTATTTCAAACATTATTCTATCCACACAGACATTCACATGGACAGTCTGGTGTAATAATAGATTTGTTTCAGGTGTTTTGTGGAGTGGGTAAGACTGTTTTTAGTGGCAGGAGAACTATGGCCATTGACATGCACTAGCCTAGCACCAGTGACCTCTGCAAATACAAGGACTGGATGAAAAACCGTAAATTCTGGACTATAAGCCGCTACTTTTTTCTCACAATTTGAACCCTGCAGCTAATAAAATGATGCGGCGAATATATGGATGTATTCTTTGTTTGGCACATTGTCCATTCATATATACGGTCTATGGTTTGGAATGTCTGAGTGCAGAAAACATGTCTGTGTGTCTGTCTGTGCGGTTACACATGGATCTAGGGTTCACGTGAAGTTACTACACTAGCTTGTGATATTGTCAGTGCATTCTAATAGTTTATCGCCATGTGATAAAATAAGTTATGATGTTAAATGAACATTAGTGAGGGGAATACGTCTTACTTGTGTGCGTAAATGACAAGAAGAAATGTCTCAAACTTCAGTAGAAGGACGTCCACTTAAACCTGATCGACAGAACTAACCCCGCCCCGAGAGTCTGAAATCTGCTGAAATCCTCCAAGACACTGACATGATACAGACAGGACAGAGACTCTTTCAGCAGGAGACATGTGCAGTAGAGTGTTTGGAGAGACGGGAGTGATGCGCCGAGGATGATTCTAGTTTAATTGTGTTGTGTGTTATTTTGTGCTTCATACACACAGCCTCCTCATGAAAAACGCATGAAGAAATGCAGATGACGTAACTTTTAAGTTAAAGGTGACTGATGTGGCTGTAGAAGAAGGAAACAGAGCTGCTGCACGTGAACTCAACATCAGTGAGTCGATGGTGAGATTTTGGAAACGGCAGAGTGATGAACTGGCTCAACGCAAAAAAAACGACAAAAGCTTTTAGAGGCGATAAAAGCAGACGACCCGAACTTGAAAACATTCTTGAAGATGTGAACACCTGCGGCTTATATTCAGGTGTGGCCAATATATGTACAGTTTAAAAATTTTGTTAAAATTTTGTTGATGCAGCTTTTATTCAGGTGCACTCAGACTATTGTCTTGAATTTACAGTGTTTAAAAAAGTGTCTCCACATGTGTCCAACACTGGCTCACTAGGAAATGAGCCCCTATGTCCAAAATTCTGAAGTGCCCCTTTAAATGTTAGTACTTTCTTTTCTGTTCCCATGTGTGTTATATGTGTGTAATCCCTCAGTGGTTCAGGTAGGTTCCATAGTGGACCATGTGCTCTTATACTTTCTCTGATACAGCTCAATAAAGCTGTAAAAAAAAGATTCATTTCTGTCCTGTAACCTTTTTAGAACAAGTTTTAGGTTTAACAATCCAAGTAAACATTAATGAGAACTGGAATTGTCTTGGAATGTTCCACAATATCGCATCAAATTTATCTGATACAGGCTGGTGACGCCTCAAGCTCCAAGGCAGATCTGTGGAGAGGCAAGCCTGCTAACTGTAAGAATGCATATTTTCCAACATGTCACTGAATAAATGTAAGTATGATATATAAGCTTAATGGTGCACTGTAGAACATTCCAGGCAGAGCAATTACATAGAAATAAGCAGGTGGCAGCCCCCTACAAGAGAAGTTACATCACGCCTTTAAGAATACATTATTAATATGACATAACTGAGCTCATTGCGTGTGCCCATACCAGCTGGATATCCACGGAAAAAACAGATGCTAATAAATGCCTTCCAACCCTTTCATCTAACTAAACCAATAATTATGGTATTTTACATTTTTATATTTGTTTTCCTGATGTAATTTGCTATGGTCAATGCGTGTTTGTTCTGCCAATATTTCTAAAAAAAATCATGAGCCTTGCAGCAAAATTTTTCAAGGTTTTTGAGGAAAATGGCTGTAAACTCTTTCTGGCTGGTCGAGGACAGAGCCAGTGCCGCCTACAGATGCTGCAGGGTCCTGAGAGTAGAATGAGACAGAAAACTCAGCAGCAAAATGGAAATCTAAAATCAAATGACTGCATGAGTGGGTGATACAGAGTGGCGCTGGTACCTCGGAGCTTCTTCTGCCAGTTCATCTCGTTGTACAGGTCCTCGGCTCTCAGGAAGAAGTCATTGATCTTGCTGCCCTGCTCGTCCCTCTCTGTGGTGTAGTACACGCGCAGTTTGGACTCAGACGTCAGGAACTCACAGATGTTTGGGACCGGGAACACAATCTCCTCCATGGTACGGTCCTGACGTACAATCTGTACACGGGAAGCAAAAACTTACAGATTGAAGCTTTAGTTGTTTGTTTTGAGACTTGGAGGCCATTGGTAGAGATTGGCAAACACAGTCACTGTCTGTCAGCTCTGGGTTGACATCATTTCACAGGCCAATCATTTTGGCAATTCATGTTGAACTAACATAACATTTTCACAGAATGTGCAGAAGGAGAGCAAGTTTTATATTTAATGTTTTATTTTTGTTCTGTTTTCAGGTTGAGCCGTTCACTCCGAAAGAGAAGTCATTTTGCGTCTTGGAATCTGCTCACACACTCACCCAAGACTGTGCAGCTTCAATGCAAAATTTGGAAAAACTTCACCAACTGGAAAACAAATTTGAACTCGGTACCAAAAATGTAAAGAGCAAGGCTGTTTATGCAGGACTAAAGGATCTGGTACCATCATCAACATGAGAAGAGAAGGTCAAGAAAGTTTGTGAAAAACTTTTGTGAAGCCCCAAGACGTCCATAACAAGAACGAGAAGTTTGGAAACCCAGATTACTCGAATGATGGTTTGGTCTACCAGATCCTGCCCTGCATAAGCAGCCAAACTCTTTACATTTTTGGTACCAAGTCCACATTTGTTTGCCAGTTGATGAAGTTTTTCCAAATTTTGAACTGAAGGCTGCACAGTCTTGGGCGAGTGTGTGCGAGCAGACTCCAAGACTCAAAATGACTTTGGGAGTGAATGGCTCAACCTGAAAACCGAACAAAAATAAAACACTAAATATAGGATCTCGATCTGTATCTATACATTCTGTGAGGTTATTTTAACAAGAACTGCCCACTGTTAAATTTTTTAGGACACCCAATATATATATATATATATATGTATATATATATATATATATATATATATATATATATATATATATATATATATATATATATATATATATATATATATATATATATATATATATATATACACACACACATTTTTATCTCCAGATCTAAACCTGGACTGTTTATCACCTGTTGTACACATTCCCCAGTTTGAGAAACACTGATCTAAACAACTGATGGTTTGGATTGAACTGGCGACCTTCCGGCAAGTGGGTGAACTTTTGTACCTCCCCATCATGCATCTGTGTAACCACGACTCGGATGACTCAGTTAAGCATTGTTCAAAAAAAGAACATTGCTCAGTACTACAATATAATTACTCTCATTACACTATGGAACATTCACACAGTCCCTGTCTCTCCCATTCATTCTTCATGGACCATTTAAAGACACAGTGTACCAGCTCTTTGAATGTTAACACAGGAAGGACATGGAGTATGTAGCTTTTGTATTGTATAAGTGTATTTCTTAAGTGTTCTATGTGCAATATTCTGACCTCTATCTGCGCAGTGTGTTTGGCGTAGAACTCCAAGGCTTCGTCCCCGTCACCGCTGGCTGCCCCCGGCCTCAGCATTATGGACAGCTCCTTATTGTGACGCGCCAACTGGAAAAAGGACAAAACAGTGTGTTATTGAGTTTGTGTTTTATGGCATAACAGGGTAGGTATGACACATTCTGAACTACTGCTTTTAATATGGATATATATCAATAAATATAAATATATATACTGTATATATAAGTCTGAGTCACTGGCTGCTTTAATAGGTATATCAGGTGAACAGCGGTATAACAGCAATACATGGGTTTGAGAGAGGTGTTCTGGGCACGTCCCATTGGAAGGAGGCCCTGGGGAAGACTCAGGACATGCTGGAGGAACTATGTCTCTCGGCTGGCCTGGGAACATCTCGGGGTCCCTCCGGGGGAGCTGGAGGAACGTGCATGGAAAGGGAAGTCTGAGTGTTTCTGCTCAGACTGCTGCCCCCGTGACCCAACCCAGGATAAAGTGGAAGAAAATGAATAGATGGATGGAAAAAAGTCAAAGATGAGGAAAATCTTGAGTCGTAGCAAAAATTCCTGCTTTGTAGTTATGATATTTTGGAGTCTTGGTGCAGAGTGAGCGCTTCTTTCACTGCGTCTTAGATCAATCTTTGTGATCAACAGTAAACAAACGCTCCTCAGTAACAGCACAGGACCATCTCCCGTTATTCCCTTTCATGTTTGAACTCTTCACGTTGTGTAGTGTAAAATATATACATAATCTTATAAAACTAAATAAAATTGCTCAGTGCACAGCAGACTTAAAACACACTTTTCCTGGTACTTAGTTATAAACCGTTAACATACATACATGATCATTTAAAATTTTGATCATTGTAAACTGCTATATTCATCTAAAATGACTTTAATATACAAACAGAATTGTAGACTTTATTCAAAACTACAGAACTCAGAGGTCCCTCCTCTTGGTAGTGGTATTTAATAATAATAATCCTGTTTGGGGCGACAGGAGGTTGGCGTCAGTTGATCGGAGGGCACGGGTGGGGGTGTGGTGGTGGAGGAGCTCAGAGAGGCAGGTGGGGGCAGGTTATGGAGGGGCTTGTACACACTGGTGAGGAGTTTGAATTGGATGCTCTGGTGGATGGGGAGCCAGTGGAGATCTCTGAGGACAGGGGTGATGTGTTCACAGGAGGAGGCGTGGGTGAGGAGGCGGGCAGCAGAGTTCTGGATGTACTGGAGTTTGTTGAGGAGTTTAGAGGGTGAACCGTAGAGCAGCTATTGCAGTAGACGAGGCGGGAGGTGACAAAGGCGTGGATGAAAGTTTCAGCAGACTGAGGGGAGAGGGATGGGTGGAGGTGAGCGACGTTCCAGAGGTGACAGAAGGCAGTTTTGATGATGTGTTTGAGGTGGTGTTCAAAGCAGAGGGTGTGGTCAACGGAGACGCCGAGGTTACAGAGATGGGAGGAGAAGGAGACTGAGTTCATTCATTGCTGCAAGTGTTTTTAACTCTATGCGATGTGTGTAACCCTGCAGTTTTGGTCAAATAGTAAGTACAGAGCTGTGGGCGGGGACAGGGTGTGGGTGAAAACAGACATTCAGACTGGTGTCTAAAGCAGGATAGTACAGGATTACTCAAACCTGCAAGAATCAATCAAATACAACTCCAAGAGAGTTAATAAAGAGGGAATCCCATTATAAGTAGGTTCTAAAAGTTTATTTCCATGAACAGCTAACCTGGTGGGCTAAAATGTAGATGTTGTGTCCAACATTTCGGGGTGAAGCGGCGTCATGATCTTCTTCATCACCATTATCCTCGTCTTGTCCCGCGTCTTCAAACTCGACCTCCCCCTGCAGGTAGGCCTTCTTTATCACCTCCACCTGAACAGACGGGATAAGAAAGAGATCATAAAGGAAAGTATGTGAAATACACTGATTTTAAATCGTAGTTAATAGTACGATAGTGTTACCAGCTCTTTAGGTCTCATGTTGTACAGGATTCTCTCTGCATTTTCACTGTCATGGCGGCTCTCCATGATGGCAAGCAATAATTTGGAAGCATTGTTCTAGATAAAGATTAAAAAAATGTGAAAATAGTGGGAAGGAAAACACTGATATGCATCTTAACAGTCAGTGATGACATGTACAGACAAAAATCCCAACAGGCCAGTGAACAAAGCTTAATGTGCAATGTGTCATTCAGACTGGAATATATCATGACAAAATACCTATAATTATAACTTTAGGTTTGATGCATGTTACGCAAGAGATGAGGCAATACAAAAATTGTGTGTGTGTTTGTTTGTGTGTGTGTGCATATTTTCTGTTTTAAATAGGCCTTAATTGAGCCTTCACCTTGAGCTCCAGCACCAGGTCCATGCGTTTCTTCCCCAGAGGGTTTATGTCGTTCAGGATGAGGGCGATGATGATGTCGATGCCATTGGACTCATGTGTGGCGATGCAGTTCTGATCAAATACACAAAACATTACACCAACATGATCATCTGGCCTTTTAACTGGACTGAGGTGATAATACAATTAGGGGTGTCAAAAATATCGCGTTAATTGTGATTAATTCATTACAGTCATATTTAGTGTGTTATGTTTTTAATCGCGTTAATCTCATTTTTAATCTCTGACTTTACTGTTTCTGTATGCGAGTTGCTTTATTATAAAATCTGTTTTTATGTGTTGTTGGGACAACAGCACATCGCTCCCGCAAAGAATTGTAATTTTCATTCCCGTTCTCGCCGCATCTGTGATAAACCTGCACATGTATGATCTTTGAAAATATTGCGACAAACACAGAACAGACTCACCTTCAGCATCAACATCCCTCTGTCACAAAGAGAACATCTATATTCCACTGAGTCGTGTCCTTTACTCCCACAGAAGCTGAACCGCATCAGCATTTGTTTTTGTTTTTTTTCTCGCTTAGTTTATGCAAATTAGCCATGCGGTTTTTAAGTTTCGTTTCTGTGAGACTTGTGCAAAGCTGCATTAAAAACATTATAATGTCAAACAGGCTGATGTGGTTCTAGAGTGTTCATGGTTTATATGTTGTAAAGTTGAGTTTATTTATGCAGATTAGTAATAGTAATAATAATGATGATAATACTGTGGAATGTAAGTGACTGCATCTGTTAAAGTTTGTTAAACAATAAATAACTTTATAAAGTCTCTTTTTTTTTGGTCTATATCAGTCTTTTGATCTGCCACAATAATGTAATAATGAATTTAAATGAAAATACCTCAAGTTGAAGGCTTTTCTCAGCAGTTTATAGGTAAGATTAAAAAGAGATTAACTGGATTAATTAATTACAAATCATAATTAATTAATCTCTCAATTTTTTTTATCGCCTGACAGCACTAAATACAATATTATAAACGGTCACAGCTAGAAGACAGGTCAGAATCTACTGTCAAATAAGAACTTTTAACTGAAAATGCACATTTTGACCTGGTTTAAGGCTAAGAGACATTTCAAAATTAAATGTCTTGTGTCATGGATGAACTAAGGTGAAAGGAGTTTTCACAGTACAGCACTATTGTAGCAAGGACTTAAAGCCACAAGCGAAGAGGAGATGAAAACCTTGCACCTTTCTAGAGTTCTATGCCGTCTGTGTGAGCTTGTGACATACAAACACAGTGTATAGAGAGTATAGACCTTCATGAGCAGAACAGTGCGCGTCTCACACCTGGTTTTCGTGACAGGGTCCCTGGCAGTACTCGGTGAGGCTCTCCAGAGTCTGGTTGATCAGAGCCACGTTCTTTTCATTGATGTAAAGTCCCAACAGCCCCAGGCCTCCAGTGGTGCTTCCACAGATACAGTCCAGGAACTGCAGCGTCTCACACACCAGGTTATAGTTGTTCTTGTTGTTCTGACATCGGAGGAAGTTCTGAGAGAAAACAAAAACAATCAAAATGTGAACTTCACAGCTGCTACTGTCAAATATAAAGTCTGTTATCTGTATAGTTATTTCTCTTGACTCCTGACTGCATGTTGTTATTCTATTCTAGCCTTGTACTTTGTGCTGTGACATTGAAATTTCCCTATTCTCTCTTTGCGAAAAAAGTAAAGATGCTGAAATCTCAACCTAAAAAATGTAAGTTCCCTAGAGGAGAGTGAGTCACCTGATTATCACTATGCAGATGTTACTTTGCCTGGAATGTTCCAAAGTATGGCATTGAACAGTTTTAACTTCACTTCGCCACGAGGCAAGTTACAGGTCAGATCTGAGGAGAGGCGACCTCGCTAACAGTAAGAATGCACATTTTTCAAGGTATTATATTAGCAATAAAACACCAGTAATTTAATAAATGTCAGATAGATAAGTTTAATGCCATGCTGTGGAACATTCCAGGCAAAGCAATAACTTCTCCATGGAGACAAGCAGGTGGTGGACCCTTCATCAGAATGACATGTCTGACACTATAAATTATATCCCAAAGAGCTAATAGTTAGTGTGATGGAGTGTGTGCATGTTTCTGACCTGTAGATCTCTGTTGTGGTTCTCACACAGCAGTTGGAGGAAGCGCAGGATCGGCTGCATGATGATGATGACGAAGCTCATCTCTCCGTCGTCCTGGCCCTTGTCTCCAGAGGAAGGGTGCCCCTCCGCAGAGCTGAAGTGGTCCTCGGGGTCAGCGTCACGGCGATACGAGTTAAACGCTTTCTTTGTGGCAGACGACGCCTCCAACAACTGCTCCTTCACATCCTCCGTAATCACCACAGCAGAGTCTCGGGCTGCACAGGAAAACACTAACGCTTAAAGCCCCACAGTGTAACTTTTTAGCTCAAAATTAGACTCAAATTAAATCATGTTAATTTTTTTGATGTTTATATTACACTAAACATGTCTTTATTGCGAGCAGGATTGCACTTTCACAAACCTGACTCACACTACAGGACTTTTTTGGGTCTTAAACGATTTTTAAACGTGCGACAAAAAGTTCACACCCCAGACACGAGGAGAATCTTAATCTTAAATCTGCAATCACAAAGACTGCAGCGGGATTTGTCTGCGGCCCACAGGATATAAAACTGTGAGTGCGATGGCGTCAGTTGTTTCCTGTCTACAGTAAAATCACTTGCTCTGAGACTCTTAAGTGTTCAAAAGGTCAGAGCTCTGTACTTCTAGTTTAGATACAAGTCAGAACTATGCTATTATTATTTGTGAAATGTGGGGTAATACTTCAGATACATGATACAGATAAAGAAAAATTAATGCATAGAAGGCTGGAGATAAAGTCCACAGGAAGTAGAGTCACTGTCGCTCATCTGCAGTTTCACTTTGATCTGTACGCCGTGTGGGTGTAAACAGACACATTATTTATGAAGGGGAAATTTTATGGATAATGTGGATGAGATGCTGCAGTTTAAACAACTTTATGAGAGATGAATAATAATTAGTTTATTTATTTAATGAGACAGGGAAAGTGCACAATATACATTCATCTTAACAGGAGAGATGCATTGTACCTGGTTGTAACACCAGGGCTAATTTCCACCTGTAGTCTCTGAGCAGGTTCATTGATTGTACTTAATTGACCTTAACTATCAGCTATTCTTCCTGGAGACCTGTGTAAAATATTTTGGGTTTTGGCAAATTATTCTTGCTGTATTTTGAGTTTGTATGTTGTGTCTCTGTGTCCGTCACTTCTCTGCCCCTGACGCTCTGTTTGGCTACGTTCAGACTGCAGGGCTTAATGCTCAATTCAGATTTTTTTTGTGAAATCCGATGTTTTTGCGAGGTCGTTCACATTTCCAATTAAATGCGACTTGTTTGTGATCTCCAGTGTGAACATTAAACAGCCCAAAAGTGTCCCGCATGTGCACTGGAGACACGACGATGTCAACCGCAGCGAGCGTGCTCTGTGTTTACGGAAGTTGTCCAAACATGGAGGCGAGCATTGAGCACCACAACTTACTTGTTTTAAGGAGGAGATTGAAAAGGGCGAGGTTTTTGGTCGTGGTGTTTTGTGGGACAGTCCGTTGAAAGGAACGTGTGGATGTGGAGACGTAGCCAAGAGTGGTGAGTGGCGATGTGCTTCACTTCAGTGACACGGAGTTCATTAACAATTTTCTTATGACAAGAAGAACGTTTGTGTACATTTGTGTCTTGTTGATAACGTGTAGGTCGGATGAATGCTCTTTGGCCGTTCAGACTGAAGTCGCATGTCAAAAGATCAGATATGTATCGGTTTAAGGGGCACACATGCAAGTGTCCTGGGTCTCATTTGAAAAAATCGGATCTGTGTCATTCAGACTGTCATTAAAAGATCAGATACAGGTCACATAGGGGCCAAAAAATTTGATTTTGGTCACTTCAGGCTGCAGTCTGAATGTAGCCTTATATTGGCTGTTACTGTTGCTGATGTTTGGTGGTTACAATCTGACAGAGCAGCTCAGATTCACACTGACACCACACACGAGAAGCGCGCACACACGCACACACACAGAGCGGTTTTAAAATCGCACACAAAGACGCAAAGTCAGGTCACGCCTCCTCGAATCCGGGGAGAAGTAAAAAGCAGCCAAAACTGGGTAAATTCTCCTGTAGTGTGTGGCGGTCTTTTACTTGAGCTGCTTGTCACCGTGGAATTGTTTTCCTAAATACTGTATTAAACCACAGAATGGCTTAAAATGTATTTGTCTCCATGGAGAATGTTCCAAAATATGGTTTTAACTTTCCTCATGCAGGTGATGAGCCACCTCCAGAAAGTTACATGGAGTTGCTTTAAAGGTTTGGCCAATGGTAAAGATGACATCACATTACATTACATCTTATAACTTGGCAGTTTGTACATTTAAAAGGTCAGTAGAAATCAGATCACTAGATTAATCAGATAACCCAATAATTAGATCTGATGTTTAGTGTGTTTTTACCATAGCCTGTAGATCGAATTAGACTAAGGGAGTGTGATGTCACCCATAGCGCTCAGCTCCAGTCAAATGAAGCCAATCGCGGCTGGCAGTTAAAGTTTAAAGCCCTGACATTGTGCAGAGAAAGAGTAAATTGTATCATATTTAGGATCTGACCTTTCCTTCTGGCTGGAGCCTCCTTGTCTCCTCCTTCCTCGTCACGTTTCCTGTTTCCTAGGTCGCTGGTGTTGACCGTCACCGTGGCTTTGATTTCCTGCTGGGCCACTTTCATCCGGTCGTAGAAAACACGGAAAAACTTCTCGGATTTTTTATCTTCGGTCAAGCGGCAAAAGAATGAACGCTGCAAAGAAAGAGAAAGTGATGAAGTGATTTGAACTGTGATTACAACTCCAGCCTCTAATTACAAAAAACTAATAAACAACTGGACTCTTCTACAGCACTTTTGCATAAATACATGTTTTAAAGCTGCAGTATGTAACTTTCTGGATGGGCCTGTATGATTCAATGAAAATAGAAACTTAAAACTACAAATCGGAACATTGTCCATGGAGATAGATACGTGTCATGTCATACTGTGGAATATTATAGCCAAAGCAATACAATGGAGCAAAGCAATGGAACTTACAGAATAACTGTAACCCTCAATTATATTTATATATTTAAGTGTATTTATAAACCAATGGGTATAAATATTAACATGCGTGTGTGTGTGTATGTGTATGAACATTGACGTATATTGGATTGTGTTCTGTATTGTGTAAGTGTACAATAAAAGATTTAGGTACATTTTCTTTCCTGCACTCAAAAGATGAGTTTTGTGTTGTTTTCTGTAAAGAGGCGAGTTTCAGCTGACGTCATTGTTATTAAAATCCCGTGTTGCATGCTGGGAAATATTTTGGTCGGAGGCAAGAAACACAATAGCGGTCAAACACAGTGCGTAACCTTGTGTATTTATTTTAGAATTTGCCATATATAATGGTAAATTCCTGCTGCATTATCGGATGCACAAATAGAAGCACGGAAGAAGGAAAATGTCTTTTTCGTATTCTGAGTGAAAAGAACCGCCAACGGTGAATTAAATGGCTTTCAAACATTCGCAGAGCAAACGTAGAAGATCCAAGCAAACCGTGGACTCCAACAAGTTCAACAACACATCGAGACTCTTGGAGGTTTTCATTTCTTCTGCTGTGAATGGCCCAGGAGTTTCCACCAAGTCATTGTGGATATCGCCTGTATCCAGGTAGTGGGTGATTTCGGACAGAAATTTGGTTTGGTCCACCTTTTGTAGGGGTTGAAAAGGGTGATTTGGCGTCCATCGATGCTTATGACCAATTTCTGGTCAAATCGTCTTCAGTCCTCTGCCGTTAGAGTGGATAAATAACTGGGATCAATACCCTTTATGTGCTTTCTCGCTCCGTCCGTCATGTTGAATTAGTGATTATTGCCGCCTACCAAAATAATTCCCAGCATGCAATGCGCGCTTTTGTCAACAATGAAACTCGCCTATAGTTCTGCCATCTTGTATTTTTACCTCCGCCAAGGAGGTTATGTTTTTGCCGGCGTTTGTCTGTTTGTTTGTTTGTTTGTTTGTCTGTTAGCAACATAACTCAAAAGGTTATGGACCGATTTTGATGAAATTTTCAGAATTTGTTGGAAATGTGAAAAGGAAGAATTGATTTCATTTTGGGGGTGATCTGGAAGAAATCCTGGATTCTGGATCACTTTGAAATTTTAGTTAACGTTGTGGTAAATGGGGCCAAAAATTTTGTTTCTCAATATCTCGGTTAATTATTGACCAAACCCCATGAAATTTGACTCAGGGATGGACAATGGGATCCTCTTTCATATTCCAAAGGCTGATCCGGATCTGATCCAGAATCGCAATTTTTATAAAAAATGGGGGTAGTCCTTGGCGGAGGTCTGCGCTCTCTGAGTGCTTTTCTAGTGTTCTATATGTTAATAGGGTTTGGCAAAATAAGTGTTAAACTTCAGCCTAAACCCCTTCAGCCTATAGAATAACCTTAGTGATGGGTGAAAATGTGACGTATAAAGCTAAATACCTGTTCCAGATTTTGAGTGCGGCTGCTAGGAAAGCTATAACCAGGAAATGGCTTAATCCACAAATACCAACACTGGATGAATGGTTTGAGATTGTTTATGATATTTCTAAGATGGAGAGAATTACTTTTAGCATAAGACTGCAACAAGACAAATTTGAAAGCAAATGGAAATGGTGGATTGAATATATAAATACTGTGAGACTGGACTTTGTTTGACCCATTACTTTGTTTTTCTTGCAATTGGCTGTTATAATTATTATTCATTAGTATTATTATTTTTCTTTTAATTAATCCATCCTTTGTAAGCATCAAAGGCACACCTGCAGGTTGTATTGTATTTGTCTTTTTCATACAACTTTAAAAAAGAAAAATAAAGAATTACAAAAAAAATAATAACCTTAATGATATGCATTAACTGTATAAGTAAATTTTGTGTTAAATCATTGTAATATGATGTATGATTATGTTAATTGATGGAAGAAAATAAAGTAACTAACATAAATGAGCTGAAAAGGCCATCCTCCAGGCCAAATAAGAGTCAGGTTTGTGGAGATGCAAGCCTGCTCATAGTAAGGATACAATACAGAGCAATAAAACACAAACAAAATGAAAAACAATGCTTTAATTTTAGTCTATTTTTTGCCTAAATGTCATGATTCTGATTGTGATCCAAATGATTAGAATTACTGAAACATGTAGAGGTGCACTGATACGTAACATAAGTAATAAATGTGTTTTGATATGATAAGTGACTGCAGTGGTTTTTGTATTTTAAAAAATCATTAAAAATGCAAAAAATACAAACTTGAACTTTCTCAATTGAAATAATGTTCACAGACATAATGACTAAAATAGCATGCTTACATCAGATTAGTGCAGTGCGTACACAAGCTAACTATAGTCCACGTCTTGACAGCAGCTCCAGACGGCAGCTGTTTGTGAATGCACATATGTGTAATGATACATTTATACATGCGTCTCTTATATATAGGATCACACTTACACAATGTTTGCGTTAAATATTCCAAACATACATGTCGGAAATACAGCTCATTTAGGGAATCAAAACCTGCTGCAAAGATCTGATACTCAGTTCATCCAATAAATACAGATTTTTCAACGCACTTAAGATCCATATCAGTATTGTCTCCAAAAATCCAAAAAGTATTTGAGCAAAATGTGTCTTGGAATATTTCATATAAACTTCTCTTGAGGTCAGAATGAGGCTGCTGTGTAATGGCTGCATATAATTATAAAGGGTTTTATTCTCACTCTATCAGGAAGTGCGTGTTAGTATGTTAGTTGTATTGCTAAAACTCCACTCTGGTGTCTGAAAATTGTGAAAAGCACTTCTAAACTCATCACAGTGAATAATGAGGATGCTCTGAATGCATAAGGTAAGTGAGGAAGAACTTTGGACCACTGCAAACTCTATAAAATGAACTAGTTCTGTTTTTCAAGTTTTTAAGGCAGTAAATTACATAGAGTTCTTTTAACAGACCACACAAACACAGAAAAAAAATAAAAATTCAGATGTGACTAATGTGGTTAATGTGCTATATGAAAACAACTTTGACCATAACATTACAAACATAATTGGACTTCGATTCAGTTAAAAGGTGATTAATTTCACTCCAAAATGCAAACACAAAGTAAACATTTAACCCTTTGCTCCTATGTCTATGTATTATGTTTTTGTTATCACAATACTAAAATGTCAAACTCCATCTCAATAGTAAGGAGCAGACTCGATACTGTGGGTTCTGAAAGTTGGCGGTTTGATTCCCGCTCTCGACATAAACATCATTGGGAGAGCGGTCAGATCTACTGATCCGCAGGTTGGCGGTGCGATTCCAGCTCCCACACATGAATGGTGTCGTTGTGCCCTTGGGAAAGAGACTTAACCTCGCCCCCGGTGTCTGTGCACACTGGTGTATGAATGTGTGTGAATGGGTGAGTGAAGCGCTATGAGTGAAGGTGGAAAAACACTGTATAAAAATGTGGCTATTTAATAAAAACATTTTTTATTTAGACATCAGAATGTGACTTTCACAGTGGTGGGCCGTCACTGCCTGTAAGGCCTTCTCTGCTGGCCTAAAAAAATCTGAATCACAGACTGATGTTACTTATATTATTCCTTTTCCTTCATTTCAGAGCTTTTCTGATGCTTGTGCTGCTTCCAGACATGTATTTTCATATTGAAGCATTTAACCAATCACATTTCAGTCATCATGTGTTGCCAGGCAGAGTCAAAGTCAAAGAAGTCTGAGGCCTTCACAATCTGTTCTGCAGGCCCTCGAACACAAAATAAATTCCATGAAACTGTTGTTTTAAGCAATCAGATTTTGAGTTGATGTCACCAGGGCCTTTAGCAGTGAACGACAACATCACTGGATTCAGACCCGTGAATGAACAGTCACAGAGTGAACTAGCCAAAGCAAACTGCATCTGTAGCGGGTTACACAAATCGAAATGATTACGACTATGTATTACCAGGAGGACTAAACCAGGACTAAACCAGAACTGAACCAGAATTAAACCAGGACCAAACCACGACTAAACCATGACTAAACACCAGGACTAATCTTGGACTTGAGAGAGAGCGAGAATCCCGAGCCTGTGGTGGAGCAGGGTGTCCGCAAAGCGCGATCACGGGATGGCTGTGCATAGCGCGCCGCACCAGTCCTTTTGCCTGCAGTCACCCGACAATCTACACGTATGAACCTCCGAGTCGTCCCAACACTCATACTGTTTTAGTTCTGGTTTAGTCCTGGTTTAAACCTGATTTAGACCTGTTTTAGTTTTAGTCCTGTTTTAGTCCTGTTTAGTCCTGGTTGAGTACTGTTTAGTCCTGGTTCAGTCCTGGACCCTCATGTCGCAGGTCATTATAGGACAGTACTAGAGATATCAGTTTTTCCCGCAGCACTTTATACTTAAAGCGGCTGCCTTGACAACAAGTGGTCCTTGCCTTGACTTCGTACACGGAATCTCCACGGCTCTTTATACTGTATTTCTGTATAATAAGATGCTTTTATAACCATACAACAGTTATTGAGGAGTTGATTTTTTCAGAGCACTACTGAAGGGCTCAGTGTGAAATGCACGTTCTGCCTCTGGATTTTCAGCATTTTCTATTCCCATGTGTCCCATATGTGTGTAATCCTCAGTGGTGCAGTAGATTCCACAGTGGTGTATAGGTTTATACTAGTCTATGTGCTCTTCTACTTGTCCTGATACAGCTCAACATCATTCTAAAACTATTCAGGAAATGTTCATTTGT